TAATTGTGACCTCCCCTTCTTTTGAGTTGAATCTTGCTGTCATGATCCTGCAAGAGGAAATTGGTTCCAACTGCATTAGGGTTTTGGCTGATGTCGCTGACATCATGTTAGCCACTCACTGTCTCAGTGTGTTTGTGGTTGTCGTCTGGGTGGCTGGAGTAGATTATTGACTCTCCCGTTGACAATTTTGACAATCCGTAACCATTCCATCTGCTCTCGCAGATACCCAGTACTTCTAAGCCATATCTTTGTATCTCTTTGGCTACCTGGACAGCCTTCTCAGTCTCGTACATTGTACGGACATTCCATGTACCCATTCTTACTCTTGCTTTCATCGAGAGAAGACACGTCGGTTGGCTGACTGGCTTCCCGGAGGCTTTTACCAAACTGTTTCGTGATTTCGCCTCTCCAATTCGACCAAAGAATGAGATTTTTCTCGAATTTTTGTATTTTTAATATAGTGTTTGTGCGAGGTTTGTAGGTGTAACTAATGAATATGACCTATGGGTAGCTGCAAGCTCGAATAATTTGTCAATGCAGGCTGAAACAACACTGCATCAACGTGACTATTTGTACTTTTAATCCGAACTTTAGCTGTTAGTGTTAACTGTTAGAGAGTAATAGCACTTGTATTCTCACATCTGACGTAACATATAACACATTTTTTATGTTAGATAGACCTACGAACATTTGCAATATATATCTAGTTATGGATGAATACTTTCCGAATTTTACAGGAAATTCCTTTCTTATTTTTGTGCATCATGTATTGTATTCTCGAAAAGATTTGAAATTCTGCCTCTGTGACTGTACCAGATATTTCGTGTTCGGATCAATTTCATATACTCCTGAGTACATGGAGGATTATGTCTTCCACTGATATTTCTGATAATCAAGTGTGAATTATCAGGATTTAATGCCGAACTTGGTGCACAACGCATGCACTTTGAACTGAGGAGACAAGAGTTACTAAAATCAGTATGCATTCATGCTTTTTCATTTGTGGACCAGGTTGGTTGGATTCTACGTTTCTGACTGAATGTCCGCACATATATGACAAGTTTATATCGAAGAATATGGATTTTATTGTCTACTCAGCCAAATTTAACATCGTTATGTGTGTTCCAACTGACTGTTCCTCATTCGATGTCCTCCTCAGCTCAGCTATTTTCCGTATACACATGATGTCTTTATCCATTTGTACAGGTCACTGGAAAGGAAGAACAAGGAATCAGTCTATCTCACCTAGATGTCCTCCTAACTTAGAAGATATACTGATACTTAGAGAGGAATATAAAGATTTTCGAACTGGAGAATAAATCCATTTCCATAGTCTCATACTGCTTGAAGACTTAAGATACCTAGTAGTGTCTTAGCGACAGAACAAGAAATACATTTTCCGACAACTGTATACATTAAGACATGTATAAACTGAAGTGCACATCACAGGCGTGTGCATGTCGAGACCCAGAAAGGGGATAATTGTGGACACTGTATATCATGGAATATTGCATCATCACAGATTAACTTTCAGAGATGCTATTGTATTTGATTTCCTTAAGTGCTAGCTGAACAGATCTGTTGAGATGACATTCACCACGTCTAAATTTGCACTCATCTGCTTAACCAAACCAGTGATCACACAGCAAGTCAAGGGTAAATCACCGATGATGGCCTTTTCAGTGCACATCTAATAGTTCAACTGCTCATGTAAGGCTTGTTACACAGAACGCACTCAGAGAGCGTTTTGGAAGCGCTCACATGAATACATACCAGTAACCAGTATAGTTGAATAAGTGGGAAGCTACGTGCAAAAATAGCACAGTTCTGTGTCACTTGCTGGACAGTGAATATCAGTGAAGACAACTCAGGTGATAAACTGTGCTTCCCCTAATCTATCAAGAAGAGTTCAACGAAATCTCTTATAGGTAGCGTAGCCAGAGAGTAAGAAAATAATACCGAGACATCTTATCTCTGTGTCCAGAACAAATATGTTCAGCTTACTCGTTTATCCTTCGTACAACAAGATAAACACATTCCCTATGAACATACGTTGGAAATTAATATTCTAAGCTCCTTTCCCATGTCCTTCCTCTCTTTCTCCTGTATCACACAGAGACACTATTGTAACAACAGAAGGCAAGACACGCAAGTAGAGGTGCATTTTCACTTGATGACGCCGCTACTTACATACACAATTTATATTCTTTCAACCAATCACTCAGCGTGTTATTTTGTTTACAATATATATAAACTTCTACTCAATTTTCTCTTTCGGTTTCCGATATTATCGTTCATTCATATGAAGTTCATAATCAGTCTGAATAAAATCCAATCACGAGTATTTATTACCTACCATACACTCAGTTCTATGTAAGCCAAAGGACTCAACGGCAAACAAGACAAAACTAACGTCATCTACAAGATAAATTGCAACGACTGCGACAAACATTACATTGGTCAAAGTGGACGCCCTCTTCGTCTTCGCATTCACGAACACAAACTAGCTGTCAAAAGACACGACATACACTCCCTCATATCACTACATGCAGACAACCACGGGCACCAATTCGACTGGGACAATGTTCAAATCTTAGACAAAGGGAACTGCAAAAATGCCAGAGAATTCTTAGAGGCCTGGTATTCAAATGAATCAGCAATCAATAGACACATAGAGATTGACAAAATATACCAATCCATACGAAGAAATTCACACAAAAACAAAGTCAAACTTCAGGTCAAGAAAACAGTCAACACCAAAACAAGTGAACTAGAAAGTGAGAAGTCACACAAAAACAACCAATCACGTTCAAGGTTAGCAGAAGGAATGACTAACGACATTCAGACCAAAGAAGCAGCCAGCACCGAGACAAGCAAACTAGGGGATGAAATGTCACACGAAAACAACCAATCAAGTTCAAGGTTACTAGAAGAGATGACTAATAAACTCATAGAGAATTCTAAAAGCTCACATCACATCGAAGTATGCGCTGAAGATGTTGCTCAGTAGAGCAATGAAAGCTTCGCAACCAAACCATCCAACTCAGTGAACACAACCACACCAAAATCATATATCCGTCGTTATTCATGATCATTTACTTTGAAAATCTGATGTTCACTTCAGTGTTACATTTATGAGTATCTTCATACACACATATTTTGAACTATTCACATCTTCTCTCACCCCTGATTACAACCCACATCTCATGACCTCCACGCCTGTTGATCATTAATATAGAAACAGTCGTTCTGTTGTGGTTAGTTTTCATCTCATGCTTTTGTTGACCGTGCACTGAGCGTGCATTTCAACGGTAATTAGAATTAACTGACTATTATTCATTCTTCCACTCCTACTACAATACAGTTTCTCCCAATCAGTAGGCACCTTTCCATTCAAACTTTGTGCAATAGTGACGTGAGCACATCCGTTGGGATCTCTGGGTCCGTTCTCAGTGATGATTGGAAGAAAGACTACCTTGTCAAACTACCAAAGAAGGGTGACTTGTTTAGGCCTCTGCAAGAACTGTCACGTAACCATGATCTTGTCCACGCCAAGTAAAATACCAAGTCACGTCATCCTAGCGAGAATAAAACATGCACTGGATACACATCTCCACCAGTCGGAACAAGCTAGATTCAGGAAAGGTAAATCATATGTGGATCAAATCCCAGCTCCACACATCATCATCGAACATGGCATTGAAAGGCAATCAAACCTGTACCTCAATTTCATCGAGTTTGAAAGGCCTACGACAGCGTTGACTGAGAAGTAATTTGGAGACTACTTCAACACTATGGTGTGCAGCATCCAAATCTTTATCAACCTCATCCAATAGCTGGTTAAGTGAAAATTCCACTTGTCAGGTGACTAAGAACGGAAACCTCAGCAAGGTGTTTGAAGTGAATACAGGAGTAAGACAAAGCAGACTACCTATTTTCACTGATGATAAACCTAAGTGTGGTGGACTGGATTATACACCAGACTGTGCACAGCGAGTGAGAAAACAGGAATTTTGTTTATATTCACCTCTAACTTCAGACTGTAACATTATGGGTAATTTTCATGGAACCATACATTTGACCACTATGTCATCATTTTAAGTACCACCAAAATAGCGTTGTTCTGGAAAAATATGTTGTATTACAAACGTTTGCAGAAGAAGTATGGCTTGCAGCTTTGTGAAAGCGGATCTATATTGAGCATTAGAGTCTCTGTGTACTCTGAGGTTATCCATAATCTTTTCCAAATGAAATGTTTACACTGTTAAGTGTCATAGGCACATATCACAACAGTGATATGTATATTGGAATGCAAATTAAGCGCTGTATTGTACCCTTCAAATTATCCAATGAAATTCAGACCTATAATGATGACGACTATATTTGTGGATATATGTTTCAGTGGTATTTCAGGAATTTACATTTGATGGCAGGTAGAATGACTTATCGGTTCTATCTCTCGCGTGACAGGTAAGTTGATTGCCGCAGTAATTATACCGTTGCTAATCATCATCAATGGGAAGACTAACTTAATCAAAGATCAACTAGATAGCAAGCCGAATCTAAACAATCACAAATTAAGGAGATGAGGAAAACGTTCAAAAACATACAATAAACAACTATAAAGCTCTTGATTTGAATTTTCAGTCTAAAATATCACATCAAATTTTATCATCGGGTGTGGTCAAAATGACTTGGAATCTAAGGCTTTCTCGTAAGTATATGGATGTGAAGGCCAAGACATCTTGGAAATTTGATGCCAATACAACCCTGCTTAGATATAAGTTGTGACATCGTTATCATAACTTTGATTAACCGATCCTGTTATACTGGCACGCATGCGAACATACTAAAATAGGTGTAGACTGTTTCAACTACAAAGAAAGTTACTTAGTGGGAAAATTCTTTCAGAAAGACAATTAAAATGAATTCATTTAAGAATCGAGACAATTTAGATTCATCCGTTCAAAAACAGAAGTAAACATTTAAAAGTGACTTACTTGAGGGCATTTCTGTAGAGTTTCTCAGTTATGTACTCCGAACACAAACTGTTCTCAAAGCTCAAATAAAATTTGTAGTTTTCACGAATCGTACTTAAACATTCAGGCGTTGAAGCAAATGTTGCTTTATTCTTCGGACACGATTTCGTGCCACATCCACCGTATATGTCAACCTATGAGTCGAATAAAACCCAACCATAAAATATTTATTAGAAGAAAGTAACCGGTAAGAGAACAATGTAATGACTCAGTGAAGAAACAAGTTCACTACTACTGCGTACTGTCCATTTTCGGAGCAGATAGTTTTGCACATCATCGTTTCAAACAAGCAGGTTTCATGTGGCACATCAATAAACAAAACACGAAAACTCAGTCGGTCCTATAAGAAATGTTAATAGAAGTGACATCTAAATACTTCCATCACCCACTAATGAACAGATAAATCTACCGAGTTTATTGTATAAAATTGCATGTATGATGATATATCAGAGTGGAATTCCTATACCTGTTACACATAAACAGTTATTACTGCACTGTTTTAGTTGGACATAACTTTAAAAAACTAGTCAGATGTCAATGTATAGGGAGATACATGTTCATTTTCTACTTAGTGAACCACTTTGCACATGTTTCTAATGCTTTCTTTCATAGCTGTCTAGTCGCTACTTATATGGTCAGTCAGTATGAAGCCATTAAAGGCACCAAAGACGATTATTCGACAACAGAAATTTACCATACGAAAGCAAAAACATGGTTCAGATTGTGAAAGTTATGAGCGGACGTGTAAAATGAAGCAGGATGATGATGATGATTATGACACGAAAATATAGACAAAAATGGGCAATCACTCACGGATATATGTCGAGATAATTCTTTGGCATATACCATTCTAGGGCTCTTCGGTATACAGTTACTTACAAACCACGCCACCTTTTTAGATCTCCCAGCCGCAATGTTACGAGAAGGTAGTGGATATCTCGTCTCTGGTCCGTGAGTTTTGATATGTGGCTCATAATAACCATACGAAGAATAAACTGTTGAGTCGAAACGATAAGATATGGTAAAGTTCACCTACAAACACAACGTAGAGAATGAAAAGAAAACCCAGTGTGAATGTGAATAAATATGTTGAAGTAGGTAACACGAGTAGGTGACTCTAGCTGTAGTTCACAGTACTACTGACATGCTGTAAACAGTCAGCCTTGAGCTGTTAAGTAAACTAACGCAAGTGGAATGTGGGGTTTGTAGAGCAGTCATTAGAAAGCAGACACGTCTGACGGAGAACCTTAGCAGACTGAAGTGTAAACAATCCGGGAATTACTACTGTCCGTCATCTTGGAAATACATGCAAGTAAACAATTTCAGGTATCCGATAGGCCGAAATTTTCACATGTAAAACTACCAGTTAGGCCAATTTTAAATGTTGGTATCATTCACAGTCGTGAAAATATAAGCCAGTGAATGATAGGAAAAGTAAACCAACCAATGGCCATCGTAGGCAGTTTCACCGACACTGAAATGCCAGATTCATCTATCTCTACGGTCTTATCCTTGGTGTAATTGGTAAGACAGAATATTATCTCTGTAGACTAAACTTGAAAAGTACACAATGTGAGCTACTCCAATAGATTCGTGATGAACTTGAATCATGATTCTCGAAAGACTGTGCTGTTGAAAAATATCTGACTGGGTATCTTAAAAAACACTACAGCTCAATTTGTTCAAACATAATGTTGTCAGTACTGAAGGTGTCAATGAGCTTTGCAGTTAACATATTGAGGATCAAATACGAAATCTAGGAGAACTTCAAACAATCCAAACATGCCTGTTACACTTGAATTTATTCCAGACTAGAAGAATACCTACAATACAATTTGAACTTGGCTCAAAAAGGTGACACTGGCAAATTATTTAAATTCCACTGTTAATCGCGTTAGATAGATAGACTATATGATAGACAGCTGATCAATATGATGTGACCTCCTTGTCGCGATTATTGGTTAATTTAATGTAACTCACACCACGTGATGTGACCTTGAGCGTTCTTTGTTGTCTGTCTCTTTATTTGTGTGTACATGTAATTAATTAACTGTTCATTTTGTCCGTTCCCTCAATACTGTTCGGTACGTTTTTGTCCTTTTTTGAATGACAGTGGATTTGTATATTTTTCTTGGTGTAATTGTATGATTTATTTTATGTTTTAGAAACAGATAAAGTTTAAGTCAAGTCATTCTGTTTTTAACTATAGTTAAGCCCAGACTCTGTGTCGTCAGTATTGAGGAAGGACTAAATCTGTAGGCCAAAATAATCCTACAAAGTTTCGAACAGTATGGCAGACAAAAATTATGAAACGATTCCAACGTTATGTCTACAGTTAGAAAAGAGTAATGAAGCTGATTTCACTGGAAGCAATGAGAATAAATCACACTATATGGTAGAATTGGAGCTAGCGAAATCGCGCATAGTTCAAAAAGAGAAAGAAATGGAATTAGAAAGATTACGACAAGGTAGTCGCTAATGTTCTTGTCACAATAAATCACCTTACAAACCTTCTACTTCTCACAAAGTCTCTGTATCTCTTAACGATGAGTTCGCCAGAGGCATATCTAAGTTTCTGGACATGCTTAAAAGCTATCAATATTTTAAGAGAGATGCCGATGAACTTGAGTATTGAAAAACTGCAAACATATGCAAATGAGGATTTTAAAGAGCTCAATAATCTTCAGCCGAAAAAACAGAAACATCAAGCGTTCGAGTTCGAAGTAGCAGTTCATGGTGAAACACTGTCAGCTCTAGATTGTGCGGGAGAAGAAATGATCGGTCAGGGGCACTACGCAACAGACATTATCAAAAACCGTCTTGATGAACTGCATGCCCTGTGGGAAAGGCTTATGGGTATTTTCAGGGAAAAATCACGTCTTATTAACCTAACGCTTAAATTTGTCCAGTTTTTACGCCAAGTCGACGATATACTTTTCTGGATACGTGAAAAAGAAACTTACGTAAAATCAGAGGATTTCGGTCAAGACTTGGAACATGCTGAGACACTTCAAAAAATGTTTGATGAGTTTACAAAGGATCTCGAGTATCAAGAAAGCCGTGTCGAAGATATCTATCGGAAGGCAGATGAACTTCTAAAAGAGGAATTTCCTGAGGATGCCTTAGTCATAGAAAAGTCCAGAGAGGTCCGCGAAGCTCTAGAACGTCTGAAGGGTCTGACTAGAAAACGACAAGAAAAGCTTTTGGAGGCCTATGAGATACAGCGCTTCTTTAGAGACACATATAAAGCTATATCGTGGGTGAATGAAAGGTCCATTCCTTTATCCATTGAGGACTGTGGTCATGATCTTGCCTCAGTCCAAGCCTTACAAAGGAAGCACGAAGCATTAGAAAGGTATTTGACTGCCCCAGATGAAAAGATTGTTCAACTTGGAGATGATGCTACGGAGTTTGCACAGAAGCATCCTGATTTGCAAGACACTATACAAGGCAAGTATGACGTCTTAATTACTGCATGGGATAAGCTTAAAAGTCAGGCTGTAGATAGGAGAGGTAAACTGGAAGAGTCATTCAAGATGCATCGCTTTTTGGCTGACTGGAGAGACTTGAGTATCTGGATGAATGACATGAAGACGTCAATATTGGCGGATGATTTGGCAAAGGATGTAGTTGGTCCTGAAGCCCAAGTAGAGCGACATAAGCAATACACCGCCGGGATAAATTCTCGAGCTGACAGTTTCGATACATGCATGCAAGAAGGTCAGGCATTACTAAGTGTTGGCCATCCTTGTAGTGGAGACATAGCTGCTAAACTTTCCACCCTTGAAAGAGAGAGCCTCCCTGATGCAGTTGTGTGAGGAAAGACGTGAACAGCTAGAACAGTGTATGGGCCTTCAGTATTTTTACCGCGAGTCTGAACAGTCGGAATCGTGGATTAGTAAGCAAGAGGCCCTCTTAGAAATAAAAGATGTGGGAGACTCACTCGATTCTGTGGAAGCACTCATAAGGAAACATGAAGACTTCGAAAAGTCACTTTTAGAACAAGAAGAAAAGATGCGACAACTCGATAAATTCGCTGCCAAACTAATCGAATCAAACCACTATGCGGGTGCACATATTCATGAGATTCAGGAAGGTCTTCAAAATAGACGAAATGCATTAAAGGAGAAAGCTCAGAACCACCGTCAGCATCTTCAAGATTCCCACCGTTACCAAATGTTCGATAGAGGTGCAGATGAAATGCAGTCATGGATATCAGGAAAACTTGAAAATGCACTTGATGAAAGTTACAAAGACTCCACGAATTTGCAAACAAAGGTGCAGAAGCATCAGAATTTCGAGGCAGAAATACAAGAGAACCAATCCCGCGTTGAAGATATTAAAAAGACAGGTCAGGATTTGTTAAATGAAAACCACTACAACTCACCAGAAATAAAAGTAAAGGTTGAACAGTTGGATGAAACTTGATCTCATCTCGTAAATGCCATGGGAGACAAGAAGAAAAATTTAGATCAAGCAAGTAGGCAACAACAGTTCGCTCGCAACGTAGAAGATGTCGAGTTATGGTCGAATGATGTTGAAGCTCAGATAGCCTCAGAGGATGTCGGTCGTGATCTAAACGGTGTGATGAACGCACACAAGCGGCACAACTTGCTTCAATCTGATGTAGCTACTCATCGTGAACGTATCGATGCATTCAAAGTCCAGGGTGACACGTTTGCCGCAGAAAGTCATTTCGACGCTCCTATTACCCAAGAAAAACAAAGACAGTTAGCCCAACGTTACCATGACCTGCAAATCCCTCTATGTCAACGTCGTGAGAAGTTAAGAGATGCACTTCCCTCGGACACATCTTTGCAGCCTGAATATGGTGACTATAGTGAGCTGATGAAGTTACTAGTCGATTGTTGTAAAGATTTTAAAGCACATTCGCTTAACCAAATCGAATCAGAAATGTGGCATCAGTTTGCTGAAAGCTTCACTACTGGCTCAGTAGCCACTCACAAAGATGCCTTCAGGTTATGGGTTAAAGATAAGAACCCCGTTGTTGAAAACTACATTGGTTTTATACAGTCATACCGTGACCCCTTTGGCGTTCGTGCAAGGTTTGAATCATTTGTCTCTGTTGTAAATAGATCAGTGTCTAAAAAATTCCAACGACTTGTAAATAATGCTGAAAGGTTGTTAACAAGTTTACCCTGGTATTCTACGTTTGAAAAAGTTAATTTCTTACAGCCAGACTTTACTAGTTTGGGTGTAGTGACGTTTGCAATTGCTGGAATTCCTGTTGGAACTAATATTTCTAACTATGATGATGTACAACAAGTTGATGGATTTAAAGATGTTTCTTTGGATAATGCACTTAGCGTTCGTTTCAAGGATCCTAAATCAGAGTTTCTAAGTACTGAAGACAAACAAATGTACGTGGAACATGCTGAAAGTTCTTTTGAATTACAAGTTGGACTTCATGAACTGATGGGATATGATTCTGGTAAACTGTTTCGGCGTGATTGTTATGGAAAACGAAATTTCCACACGAAAACTACTGAATATGTCATAAATGGAGGTCCTGTAAAAGGCTGGTGTGAACCAGGAGAAACGTATGACAGCAAGTTTTCAAACCTTTCATCTGCAATAGATAAGTGTCGAGCTGAGTGCGTTGGAATTTATTTATCTGATTTACCTCTGGTTCTGGAGCAGTTCGGTTTAAATACCGACTGTGTTCAAGGCGATGTCCCAGATGTAGTCTATATTAATTGGTTGTCAATGATTCCTTCAGTTGTAACTTCCATGGAGTTTTATTCTCCAGCAGAAAATGCTGATGACATTGGATCATGGTGTCAAGCACATTATTGTGCTTGTTTTGCGATTCTGCGAGTTTTTATTGAAGCTGACGATTCTATGGTACGTACAGATGAAGTAGTCGGTGAGAACGATGCATCTGATTTGTGTATTTCCTTGGATCCAAAAAGGCCTTTAACTGTGGCTCATCCAGTAAATGGTGAATTCTTAAGAAAATTACAATATTGCGAAAGTACAGCGAATGCTAAAGATGAATGTGCTTTCTTCCAACACCATAGTAAACTACTTTCAAAATATTTGACTGATTTGTTCTGGCATAGATGGCTACGTGGATATCTTCTGATGCTGCAAGCAAGATCTAAATGGTTAGATATAAAGCGTAACCTACAACCTGGTGATCTCGTCCTAGTTAACAGTGCTGACACACAGAGAGGTCTCTGGCCAAAGGCTATAGTTGAGCAGATGTACTATGACCAAGATGGCCGCGTCAAGACGGTGCGGGTGAAAACTGCAGCTCAAGAAGTTGAACGAGATATGAGAAGCTTATGTTTGTTGGAAAAAGCAGACAACTTTAAGGTTCCAGGTACGAAAAGTCAACGTGGTGGTCGTTCGCGGGGAGTGTTAATCGCGATAGATAGATAGACTATATGATAGACAGCTGATCAATATGATGTGACCTCCTTGTCGCGATTATTGGTTAATTTAATGTAACTCACACCACGTGATGTGACCTTGAGCGTTCTTTGTTGTCTGTCTCTTTATTTGTGTGTACATGTAATTAATTAACTGTTCATTTTGTCCGTTCCCTCAATACTGTTCGGTACGTTTTTGTCCTTTTTTGAATGACAGTGGATTTGTATATTTTTCTTGGTGTAATTGTATGATTTATTTTATGTTTTAGAAACAGATAAAGTTTAAGTCAAGTCATTCTGTTTTTAACTATAGTTAAGCCCAGACTCTGTGTCGTCAGTATTGAGGAAGGACTAAATCTGTAGGCCAAAATAATCCTACATCCACTACCCAAAGAAGAGTATGGACTTAGTGCATTTAAGTTATCTCCCGGTGGGCGCGTACTGATGAAGAGTCCCAAACTAGGACGAAACAGCTGTCCAGTACTCCCAGCTGGTTTTCCAGTGGTTCTCTAACTGATGTCGGCTCATGATGAAACCCTCCATGTTATCTACAGAAATAGAAAATCGCCTATGAACTAACCACTGAAAATAAAAGAACGAGTTGTGTGTGTTGTCAGTTATAAATTTACATTAAAATGTGTCTGAAAATATCATGGTGTCTGTTATTCAACAAACACTGTGAATTTAATCAGCAACAGGAGTGCATTCAGACACTGCATTTATTCGGGTTTAAAATGTGTTTCCCCATGACTCGAGAAACACTTTAGAAGAAAGTGTTGACTGAAAACACATCTTCCTGGATGTGTAATACAAGCAACAAGGTGAGGGAATTAAATTTCGGCTATGTTCAAGTCAGACATGCTCTACAACTTTCTGCGCTCGGTCACAGTTTCTCATCTCTCTATATTCAGCAGTTTATTTCACAGTAAATATTGAAATAATAATAATAATCGCAGAGATTACTATTTCTAACCTCATTCTTCAGAGAGTTTGCGATTGCGATATGCACAGGAGATTCATGTATAAGTGTAAACCATAATTGTCCTGGTGGACGTACGCCATCTGGCAGTTTATCTTCTGTAAGTATTAATCCATCAGCTTCTCGCCATCTTTCCATTTCATTAATGACATCACACTCCTTCGCATGACAGTAGGAAAAATTCATAGGTGTAAAAATTGTTCTCTTCCCATAATTGAGAAACTTCTTCACCTATAACATGAAAAGAAGTAAACAAAGATATCCCGATCAAGATCTTCATGAATAATCACTGATCTGTTTAATCATGCATTATTCGGAGAGAATATCACCGATAGCATGAATGATACACATAGCAATGAGAAAGAAGACTTAAAATGACGTTGAAAGCACTGTCTAAACACTTTACAAACACCTCTGACTAGATGTAACGCTTCGATAATCAACATAACAACAATTCTCACAAAGAAACACCAGCATGATAACATCACCTGCTACCTAGACTATGGTGTTCAATGTCAGTCAGTGAGTGTCCTTTCTATGTTATTTCCGATTACACTGACATGCTTCAGTAAGGAGATGAAATAAAGTCTTCTTACTGAAGCATGTATACTACGGAGAATGGAGATTGAAGTGATTGAATAATACTTGATTTGACTTGTAGCAGTCTGTGAAGACTAATGCTATACACTCAGAGTACTTCCAAGTGCAGCAGTGTATAATGGACACTCAAAAAGTATTCCCGAACAGGGAAATAAACAAGAACTTGCAAGTTTAATGTATACAAACTGCATTCTAAACAATTATCAGCATTTGAATACGGTAATTAGAAGACAAATTTCTCGAGATGATATTATTTTGTAGTTTCTCTATAGTCGCCTCACAAATAGCGTCGTTCACAATAATAAAATGAAATGCCTGACACTTATTCAGTTACATTAAACAAAAGTACATACTAAGGACTAATCATATTTAAATGGGTCAAGTAGTCCATGGTAGGTGGAGGTTGAAGTCTATTGTTTTTTTTCGGACTATGCGTACATAGTTCAGGATGTATGTGATTAAACCAAAGTGCTTCGATCACCTTTAATAAACTTGAATTAGAGTTGACTGAAATAGTTGTTAAGCTGTCATCAATATTGATTTTGTGAGCTGACATTAATAAGCAACAGCCTACCAATGAATATTCTTGGACGAATACGTTTAGTTCACAGACCACAGTTTCTCCAAACTTAATAAAGTAATTAAGCATTGTCGTAAATTTAACATTATGTTTTAGATTGCTAAAACCTGAGTACAAGTCGAGAAGTGTATGATATAGTATCTTGTCAATATCGTTGTCATGGCCACATTTATGTTGACTTTATAATGTTTTGGTGTTTGATGCAGAATATGAGATTAACATTGCTAAGATAGAAGAGTTAACTCACTTTCTTTTCTTCTTTTATTGTGTCATACAGCTTTTTCAACCTTTCTTCTTCTAAACTAAAATACAGGGGATATTTCTGAACAGCTAATCTAGTCTGAGTAGAATATGTTTTGTGTAGGATAGCAGCTAAGTCAGACCGATTAGCATATGAACCATATTCGTTCGGAAGTATTGACTCATTTATTCCTGACGATATGAATCTGTTTCCTGGTTTCGAATCCAAGAAATATGAACTAGGTGCAAGAATTATCAGCCAGATAATCAGGAGTACAATTAACACAAGAGTAATTGATTTGCACTCTTGAGAAGCTTTGATCAACATCAGTATTAGTTTTAACAATTGCAACGAAAAAATCAGAATCTAGCACATTTCAACGTTACCGAAGAGAAAGTAGTGAGGCCATCATCTGCAAAATGAACAAGAATAAGCAGACGATTTATCTGTAATTGAAGACAAAAAGTTATCAAAGTACGCTCGGTAGAGAATACAGAGTATAAATGTGGGAAGATTTCTCGGAAGGCATATTTGATTATGTCTCACAAATATTGCTCATATCTGTTCTCTGAACATACCTTAATTAAGGACCAAAACAGACATTTTAAGTCAACTCTAGTGATTGGTAGTATCCATTATTTCAAGACACTAAGTTGCTGGTTTATGAAAGTTCAGACTTTGTGAATATTCATGAAATTTGAATATTACCACAGTCTTTATTAGGTCATTACTATACCAAAAATCAACCGGCACTCAAAAGTACTAGAAGAGATAAACCTATCAGGAACTAACTATAACTATTCATCTCGGTTTAAATTAATGGCTTTAATCTCTTGACTGTCAAATTTTCATGAGTTTATTGACCTTCGTAACACTCATTTTCATTACTGTATGTAATACTTGATATCGACCTGTTCATTCACATATTGTCATTTTCAACGACCATATCTAAACAATAATTCATCAGGTTTATTATGAGCACAGCTAGTTTCTTCTAGCTTCTCTGATAATTAGAGCACATCAATGATCCAGGTTAGCACAATGCTTACAATAGATTTTTTTTTTATTTTTGATTTACAGCTTGATTCTGTATAGTGATGGCTTAACATAACATTCCACTACGAACCTCTACACCTAAGGCTATCAACTATTACGAATGAATCGAATATTTTCAATAATCGATTAAATAATCAATAAAATTTCGGATTATTAATAAGTATTTCCAATCAGATAGTTGAAGACGAAATAGTTTATGAAGTGACTGAATAATTGATCGAAAAGTTGCAATATTCTTTCTGATTTATATATATATATATATACATATACATTGAGACTACTTTGATTTTGAAATAATTCTGTTGCTAACCGAAGTTAATTGAAGAAGCACCAAAAATCATGAAGCATTGAAGAATTGTTTCTCTCTCGCTGAACACTATTCAGCAGTGAGCACTCATATCCCTACGAGTAATCTAACCTAGAACCTCTCAACTAATCAGTTGGAATCCACTGGCCCATTGACTCCTAGAGTACTAATAAGGATCTGTGACTTGTTTGAGTCATTGAGTCACCTGAGAACTCATGTACTCAGAGATGACACTGAGTTCAACTAGAGCTGCGTCACAAGCTGACAGAAGAAGGAATTCATATGACATGGAATAGATAAGCGTACTACTTTCTTAACCTGAATGTTATGAGATCACCCGCTTGTACGCTCATACTGAGTATTCTCCAGTCAGAGAGTAACATCTGTTCAGTGATCCATAATTTTCAATAGTTTTTCAACTTATTTGCGCTCATGATGAAATTCCCCATGCTTTGAGCCCTCATAGTTCCATTTCAAAAATTTCGTATTAGTAGCTTTCTTCTACAACCCAGCAAATGTCACAATTAACATAGACTCTAATGAACAACATTCGTTGCTACAAAACATTTATGCTGACCAACAGGACTACTGTAGGTACCCAGTAGGCTTTTCACAAATCTGGATTCGTATTTTGCTACAGGATATCATTTTCAACCACTGCGTTTTAATCTCCAGTTATCCTTTACAGAGCCCTAACTCTTATTTCAAGTGACTGATTCTAAACAGAAAACCATGTATGTCTATTTGTGAATACTTCTGATATATGAGGAGTGTTTGCCAATAATATATAGTCCGGTATCACATTTAATTGTCTCTTCAAGTGAGCGATTTAAGTACATCTTAACTAAAGTATTCTCTTAAGCCAACTGAATTTATCCAAGCACAAAGCTGTTTCATCATTCAATTCCAAACATATGACACCAATATGAATGTCAAATTATGCGGATTAGCGTCGGTGATTCTTGGAGGATAACATTTGTCAGCACTATGTGGATAACTTGTATAGATATAAGTGTCAGAGAAAAGTTGCACAATTTGATCACCATCAGAATAAAACATTAGGAAACGAACCAGAGCACTTATCAGAGTAACACACACACACACACACAAACTATGCCATGATGACTTCTCAGTAGTTTCATTCTTGTTACCACATAGGACAGCAGCCCCTTACTATTTGAAGAAACTATCAGTCCGACCATTTTAAATCCATCACATCAAAATGATTTTATCTAGGTATGTAAATTAATGAGCGCATTATATATATATGTATATATATATATATATAAAATTTTCAGTAAATCCATTGGCTTCTATTTGCTCGTTAGTATTCTTACAGTGTATGATAAAATGAGGTCAGATATTGTCAACAAAATTTGCACAGAAAAACTTGTCGTCCTTAAAAGTAACTTCAAAATTAGTCCCTTATGCAAACTCTTCGAAAAAAAGACGAGGTAATATTCCTTACATTCTTGACAATAATGTTGCTGTCAGGGATGATGCAGGCATAGCTGAACTCTTTAACAAGCACTTTTCTGATTCATACATGCACGATAACTCTACATGTACCAACTTCGACGCTGTGACAGACAAAACGCTATCAAATGTACACCTAACGGTTAATTCTGTAAAAAGTCCAATCGATTCATTGAAATTCTCTAATAATCCAGCATCTTACTCAATTCCCGATCTCCTTCTCCTTTTGCTTAGAATAATTTCAACGTCACTTATGAAGAGAATTCATTCTTCTCAATGGAAGCAGACATATATCATTGTCAGATTTAAATCAGCGTCAAAATGTGATATGCTACAGTGTGTTTGAGTTCTTTCTAACAATGTCCGCGCACAGTTTGTTTTGTGAGTAACTGCGTTATTCCTATTATTTTTGAGCATTTGTTCTGTGTGCGTTGATTTTCTGTAAATTTGCATTTTTAAATTTCCTGGTTTAGTTCGCTTAATTAAGACATCTAAGAATGGAATTTCTTTGTTTAATTCTTCTTTTCTGTGAATTTAATTTCTTCAAATACGTTATTTATTAATTTTTGGGTGTATTCCGATTCATTTCTCCAACTAATAATCCTGATGTTGGCGTCCGGTTCGTGTCCGAATTGAAGAACAAAAATTAGCTGTAACAAGGCACGATATGTATTCTTTCACATCGATGCATGTAGATAGTTACTGACACTAATTTATTGGGAGGATGCAGAAATCTTAAATAGAGGAAACACGAAAAATGTCAGGGAATTTATAGAAGACTAGTACTCAAACGAACCAGCGATTGGCCAAATTTATCAACGAATAAAACGTAAATCACGTGACAAGAAAGTTCAAATTCCAAGTCAATAAAAATGACCAATAGAAAGGTAAATTAACAACCAGTTACGACAATGGGTATCGAGACATACAAATAAATATCATCCATGGAAAATCTAAATAAGTTCCTTTCATGCTAAAACCTGAGTTGAAGATGTTGTCTAGATGGAAAACGAAAGCTTTGCAATTAAGTCAATCAGCTCAGAGAACTCAACTAAGTCAGAATCATCCACCTGAGCTTCAAATGTTCTCCATTGTTTCAGTGGTGTTTCAACATGTTTACTGACATTAACTTCAACATTTTTAAAGTTTGTATTTTGACCACATTTATTGTTTCTTTTAATTTATGATCCAACTTTTTTGTGCATTATCGTCACTTACAGATCTACATTAGGGTTATAATATATTGCAACTGTAGAAAGGAATTTTATTTTGGTCATTGATGCTAAACCTACCGTGTTAATTGCCTGGTGGTTAAATTCTCGTAAAATTGATTACCTGTTATCATAGCTGTAAATAAGAGAGAAAAATAAAAGAACCTAAAATTATGACTATTAACAACAAAGCAAGTCATAGTTTTCGCGCTTAACATTGTCTCTGTCACTTAGAAAGAACACGGGCCAAGTCTGAAAAGCAAAACATTCTAATATGGTACAGATATGTAAAAGACGACACATTCTTAATTATTAAGAATTCTGAAAAGCAAAACATTCTAGCTTAGGTCAACTTAATCTCAAATTATTATATAGATTTTACTAATGAAGTAGAAGCGAACGAGGAAACTCTAAACTTCCTGGATTGTCTTGTGCAAAGACAAACTGACGAGGAACCAAAGTTCACAATATACAGGAAACTGACACATTCAAACAAGTATTTCAATTTCCGATCAGATCATCCAGTGAGAATGAAAGTTTCAGTATCTTTAAATGTCGTTGACAGAACTAGAAACATTGTAACAGATAATGATGATATGGAGAACGTGATCTCCATCGATCTTCGTCTCGGTTGAAATTAATAGCTTTGATGTCTTCACAGTCTGATTGTCAGTAGTAGTTCATTGAGCTTTTTAATTCTCATTTTCACTCGTGTATTTAATGCTTCGAATATGATTTAAAGAGATACAAACTGAATGATATAGCATCTGTTTTGTCAAGCATATTTGCGAAGACAATCACTACTAAAATCACTGACTTCTGATTCACTGAAAATCTCATAACACCCTCTCAGTACGGTTTTATGAGGTTGAGGTCATGTCTGACATGCCACATGGAACTATTTGACTTTATCACTGGAATTACATATGAAAAACGCGTTTTACTTATTATGTAAGCTGATCCTAAGAAGGCATTCCATAAGGCATGTCATAGTTTTCTCCCGAAATAACGAGAATCTTACGCCATATCCGGCAATCTCTTACAATGTTGCGACTCATTTGTGTGTGGTCGATCCCAGCCTGTTAAGATTAACGACACATTTTCTAGTAACAATCCAGTATCAAGTGACGTAACTCAAGGTAGTGTACTAAGGCCTCTGTTTTACCTTATGTATCTAAATGACGTATGTGATGCTATAAAAACATGGCAGACATTTCTCACATGCCGATGACTTAAAGTCTGTTTACCTCAATACCACCTAAGAAGTGATAATCTGTTTTATAAAAGGTAATCGGATATTGACAACACTCAAAAGTGGTGTGAGAGATGGACAGTGCAGATTAACGTGGAAAATTGTGGTCTCTTATGCTCAACTTGCCTTTGTATCGTGCCACACAACAATTTGCGGCAAGCCAATCACCATTTCTTCTTCTGCACTTGACCTCGGGCTCGGTTACTCTGCTGATTTCAAATCCTCTTCCTTAAGCCAGCAGATTACTTGGATTTAAATTTCATAACTGTCGAACCCAAGACTCTAAAATGCTTATGTATAAAACACTCATACTGTTCATTTATCTTAGATAGCACTTCTATCAGGGACATACTGAAGATTGAAAGTGTCGAAAGGAGATTTACAAACAGAATTTTCGGAAAAAGTCTAAAAGTTCTCTGCAATTACCGTTAAACAACTCTTAAGATGGAACCCCTTTGGTTCAGGCGTCAACGACTTAATCCCATTCTCCCATGTAAAGTTGTCAAAGGAATGGTATACTTCCCTAATACCAACCTTTCATTTACTTCCTCGACATATGAATTACGTAGCAACGGGTCTTCTCTAAATCACGTTCTTTGTCGAACGAAGTCTCGTTCCAGTTTATTTACAGTTGAGTACAGGGCAATATGAAACTTCTTGCCAGCACCACAATACAAAGATTCACCTATCCGATAAATAAATACTTCCCCGAAAGTGGTCATGAAACACACTGAAGATTAGTGATATTGTTTCTTTCCCTATTGACTTAAGTACTTAAACAGCTCTGTTCACTCAGCGCATTAACAGAAACAGCCAGAATTATCATACTTATTTAACATAATCAACGTTGCGCTAGTGGTGTTCTAGGTTACTTTTTCAGTTGATTAAATTACTTGCCTACCTCAAAATACGCATAATCCTCTCATACAAAGATGGGTTGCAATACACAGCCTAACACACTCACCATGGTAATTGCACCAAATCTAGATAAACTATATATATATATATATATATATATATATATATATATATATATATATGTACTGCTTAACTGATATAACCGATTACAAATTGTACTTTAATAGCGTTTTTCGCATTCAGAGGATCACATTCTCCGTTCATCGTTCAGTAAATGTAATCGTTAGCATACAAGAAAATTAAAAGTGTAGTAGTCTAACTTGACTATATGAGATGACAATCATATTGGTTTAGCCGTTTTTCCTTTGAATAAGAGTATGATTAATACTTAAGACAGGATCTTTTGATGTACACCTCAGTATCCTTAAGAACTATGTTTGTGTACATTAGTATTCTGTATCCATTTGACAGATGATATCTGTTATGGTGTTTCATCAAGCCTTAATGACATTATTCAAGCACAAAATTACTAAACAGACGGTGTCAACTTATTTAGCTAGTTATGATAACAAAACTGAATACAACAAACTTTTGGTCACTTTGAAATTGGGAGGCACACATAAAATATTCTGCTACTGTATCCTTTTTCCTATTTGAATCTTACTGATAGTTTCAACAAATGCTTCTGATTGAAAGAAGAGTAACCGGTTGGCGTATATGAAATAAAACAACTCCATTATAGATAAGATTTTATTTTGATAAATCACACAGTGTTGTACAGCAATATTAACTGATTAACTGGTGATGATGATGATGATGATGATTAACTGTGTGATTTATCAAAATAGAATATCTTGCTTACAACGGAGTTATACTCACTCTCCCACAGTGCCCAAGTTTTATACTTATATAAATAAAACAACAGTTGAATGTCCAAAGGCAAAGTGGTCATGTGATGAAACCGAAAGTTGCACATCCCTGATTTCTGCAGACCAAAGCTTGTAAAATCTAACGAAATCCATTGAACAATATTGTTCACGAATAAACAAACAAGAGTGGATGTTTACGTCAACTATAAAAAGCAGACACGACACTCATGGTTCAGCCAAATGACTCTGACGAATCATTCGAAATTGTCGTATGAGAAACCGACATTTATTGAACCGAAAAGTTTATTTAACTACACATCTATATAGTAAAAATGACTTACAAAGTATATGAGTCTGTTATGAGCTGCAAAAGTGTGCCCTAGTTTCTCGTAGGTATTGTTAACGTCATATCAAACCAGTCATTACATATGAATTTATTGTGAAAGATCAACCATCTCATTGGTTGTGTAAGGTCAATCCGTTGAAACTAAAGCGTGATATCCACTCTGTATAGTTGCTAAGTTTATTATATAATACAGCATAACAAACAGTTCAGATTAAATATGGACGATTTGTTTTATTGGGTGCAATAATCTGACACCAAACATGATCATCGGTGAGAATACAGAGAACATTCAACAGAATATCAGTTATCACACATTGATTATTCTCACCTTACTAACAAATTCAGGATTTGTTTTCTTTTCAAAGGAAAATTTGAAATGGCAATTAATACGAAGTTATATGCTTCCAGGCCGTAGGTGGTACGAACTTCCTGGAATAATTTGAGCGCCGAGTCAGATTGATTAATTATCAATTATTTTAATTAATGCCAGCGTGTTAAGAAAATCAAAACAAGATTTTTCTGAACGTTTCGCTGTGTAAGCCACAGCTTCTTCAGCAGATTTATTTGGATTTTTAAAAATCCAAAATTTAAATAAGTTATAATAATACGAAGTTAATTAATGCAAAATTAAACACTTCAGAAATATGCAAAAATATTACTTACAATACAATACGTAACCGTACAGTGAAGAAAGAAATCATGAATGCAGGTAGGTTAATTTATTTCAACTTGATAAACAAGTGGATAGAATGTGAATAAGTGAAATGTACAGAACATTCTTCTATCAACCAATGAAAAATGTAGAATTGAAATGATCATTCTAATTGATTGGAAACAGTAGTTGATAACAGCCAATGACTTGGTTTTCACATAGATTATTTCAACATAATATAGACGTGAAGAACCAATCAACATTCTAGGCATGATGAATAAAGCTTTCCTGGTCTATGTAATAGTCGCCCAGTCAGTATAGATATGATAAGAATAAAGATAATTAAAATGATGCACTAAGCGGTTAGAGTTGAAGTGGATGAATTATAATTTTAGAATCTTAACACCAATTCACTTATTTAATAATCTTAAGGAGCTTTGTAATTCATCCACTTCAACTCTACCCCCTTAGTACATCATTTTAAATATCTTCATTCTTATCAGATGTATATTTAATAATCTTAGGCGTGAGCTGAAGGGTATCAAGAGAAATTATTATCACGCCTACAACACGTTTGTAGTTTAGAATTTTCTTAAAGGTCATTGAGTGTTACGTTTAACTTCACCGAACACCCCAATGTACTCAAATTAGTCTTCGAGTGCTAACAAGCTGTTCAAAATAATCATCGCATTACAATCCTTAATTAACTCCTTGCAAGTCGTAATCGTTTGAGCTGCAACTATCAACTCTCGCAAGGATTTCGAACAAAATACAGCTTAATACAGCTTAACTAGGTTAAAGTAAGGGGTGCATGATTGGGTATTTTACCACCACTATCAATACTTTATCAATTGGTGAATAGGTATCACAGTCCTTGAACTAGAAATTACGCTGAGACAATTCGCTGCAAACTCAAGTTTCAGAGTTCTGACAGGAAACTTCCACTGTTTAGATCACTTCTAGTCTTTGGCGAATCCAACATATTAGGTAAACACAAATGAGAGAGAGAAGCCGAAGAATGCTCCTGTGGCGGTAAATAATTCCCCAAAATTATTAACCACAGCAATCATCACTCAACATTGGATGCTGACCACCACTGTTTAAGTCGACTTGTTTAGCTGAAGGCTTACGGTCAAGCATCCCCGCCATTTGGTTCTCCGTCGTGTCACGTGCGTGCACGATTACTAGCTAGCTAAGCATTCATCTCTACCCGCAATTTTGTCCCGAAATATACTACGTACTATGGACGACAAAATCTGGTCTTTGCTTTATCTTTGGTACTCGAAGAACGAACACTATAGAAGTTGTTGGTGTAAGATCTTGCGTTAGTATAATCCGTACAACTCGCGAACGTCGGTGCCCGCAGTCTCTAAGCTCCTATCACATTTTCAAACTTCCTGTAGGCGTCTCGAATGAATAAAGTCGTCAATAATTAACAGAAATCCTTCCTGTTGTAGCGCCCCTATATCAGGCCTAACTGAACGCTTACAAAACTAATTCATGTACGCATATTATACACTTACAGAAACTAATTTTACATATACTTGTCAAATATTTTCCTTTGTATTATTGAGCACTGCTTTTCACTTGTTATATATATATCTCACTACTGATTATTTTGACCATTCTAATTAATTCCTGTTCAATGGAAATCATCGGTGACATTCCTCTCAGAAAACTGCCTTCAGTAGCCTAATTGATATGCTGTATGTAGCTTTAATTACTTTGAGCAGAACAATGGTTCAGTGATTGCAATGCTTTCTTAAAAATCGTAATACTGTGCTCCTCAAGACAAATTCTGTAATCCTTCACATACTTTTAAGTCTATTGGCGCACATGCTATTAGAAATTAGGAGCAAGTGAGAAAACAAGACCTTAACGTTCAACTTCGAGTAACGGATTTCTGTCAAAGTCACAGTCAGAGCAGTGAAAATAGTTACGGTCTGACTGTAATGTAGGTTAAGACCTATGAAATGTAACACATGGAGTCTTTCTTATCACTTATATGCATTTATTAAGTGGTTTGAGCAAGTGAATGAAAACAGCAAACACTATGCATGCTGCGCCTGTAGAATGGCATCTGAATCAATGTGTTCCATCCACAGGCTTTGAAACTTTGCTACTTATGCATGATGGTTTTTATAAGATTTCAAGCTTACTATACGAGTTTAGATTGGGACATGAAATATGGAGCAGACAAAATAACCAGCTACAACATCGTCACGCCACGTCTTCAGTAGCCAAGATACATTTGCAGCTGCCACTGAAAACTTCCAATATACCTCCAGTGGGTCAAGAACCAAACCAGAAGAGGGAGCCAGAGGTCGAGATTGGGATTTCACCTATGAGACAAACATTTGCGAACGGTCTTAGACAGTTCGTTTACAAACTGAATCGGAGAAGTAGAGGTACAGATTTGTTGTACACATTTTTGAGAGACAGGTGAATAGAAATGGCTGAAACCGGGTAAGACAGGCCAAACCCAGCGTAAACCAGTGTGGACAGATCACACCGTCGGGCCCAGACAGAATATTATAATGCAATTGGATATCCTAGAACCTGAAACTTACACAACTTTCGGACACTGGTATTGTGTGTATATATACGTTTATTTTTGTACAATAAAGACAAACTGTTCTCACTGACTAGGACTAGTCTTTCTTCTATCTTTATTTACGTGGACTCTGTGGAGTGTGGAGTGATTGGAAATAGGTACTGGTATTTGGTCTTCAAACTAGTAACTTACTGCCTTCCTGTATCGAACCCTAGTCGGAACATTATTATTTAGTGCCGTGACGTTATGGAACCTAAAGAGACGTCATTCTCATCGTTCACATCATAAAGTTACTCACAGTGATGTTTATTTACACTCAAAAAAGTGCTAGTACGAGGAAACATGTGATAAGTTTCGAATACATGAAATGTAATAAGGCCTATGGTTATAACCTCTTGAAACCGATAGATTTAGGATCATGCCGAAAACCACCTTCTGTTTTATGAGCATAAATATGATTACTGTGTCGAAAACTGGGAGAATTTAAAGGTTAATAGCTAATCAATTAATACTGAATATTACATATTTTAGAATCAACATCTGTCCATTCTTCTTCTCCAAGACCACTCAGAGGGTCAGCTTGTGTTGAGGGCTGGCTACAAGCCAAAACTGTAGACAGCAATTTGCGTCTATGTTACGTCCCGAATCATTGTCATGAGAAAAAAAATAACAAAGCTCAACCTTGAGGAACACACCAACCAACCACAGCAGACTTAACATGTGCAAATAGGCTTCGCAGATATATGGCTTATCCTTCTGAGAAACGGTCACAAGCAGTATGGAATAACCTTCAGCAAGGAAATCCAATCAGAAGACGTTGCTTCTCCGCTGACAATAATGTACATGAAAATCTTCAAATACCTTTTCATTTTCTGAACAAATGATCTGTTGCCTGGCTCTTGTCTTCTGTCGTTACAAACTGAGTTATTAAATGAATATTCCTCATCCCTCTCTGTGTTGTTGGTAGATTTCCTGTAATTCAGTCATTGCGAAATACTACTATTATAAATAGTAATTTTAACATTTTGGCGTCGTTATGGAATTAAATAATCTTGGAAAGTTCCCTGTGAATGGTTCACCGCTGGAAATCACCGATTATCTTGAGTGCTTTGACGCATGGTGCATGTCGAAGAATGTTCGTAATGACAACATTTCACCTCATTTTATTACTGCGATTGGGCTAGATGCGTACAGTCTAGTGAAGACTCTCTCATTTCTATATAAACCAGTTTCTCTGAGATGATAAGCTCCGTGGACTTCTAACAGATCACTTCCACATAACAACTTTCTAAACACGAAAGAGGACTCCATTCAACAAACTTGTTCGTGCTCCCAACCAGAAGATTAGAGACTTTATTCTTCAGCTTCAGATACAAGCTTCAAAGTGCAGCTTTGAAGATCAGCTGCATACTCAACTACGTGATTGTCTAATCTCTGGGATCGATATTCTGAAGCTCGAGAAAGAGCCAATTCAGATTCCTTCCTGCACATTTCAAACTGCTTACGTATTGCATATTAAGATGTCAACAGTGAATAACCAGCTCCCATTACGTCGGTGTCCGACGTCATGTTGTCCAAAGTTGATAATGCAGGTGTTCATAAAACGAAATTCAAACATTCATCCCCACCTGATAGATTGCAGACAGAGGGAGAAAAGACCAAACCGTGTTTTTCCTGTGGAAAGATTCATCTACGCAGTACTTGCCGTTTTCGGGGTGCTAAGTGCCATAAATGTGGTAAAATTGGGCACATAAAGTCTGTTTGCCGGAGTTCAAATAATCATGCTACTCAGAATTCTCATGATTCTTTGAATTTGTTTGGTCAAATGCAGTCAACGTCCCTTTCAACTTTTCACAGCACTGAATCTCATCTGATGATAACCTTCACTACAAGTTCAGGCAAGTTTCACTATTTTATAATTGATACTGGGAGTAGTGAGTCTATAATTTCTAAGAAAGACTTACTACCGCTTTCTAAGCATGCCCAGACAGACCATATTACTAGTTCAATTACAGGCATAACTAGTCATGAATTGCCTCTTACTGGTGCTACTAACATTGGTTTGAAATTCGACAGTGGTAGTTTTGTGAATATCCCCTTTCCTGTTAGTGAATGCGGTCCATCTTTATTGGGATTGAAAGCCCTTAAATTGTTGAATGTCGAAATCTCACTTTGCACTGAGTTGTTTGATGGATCTTTGTTCAGAGAACTAGTTCTTCAATGTTCACAGTGTGTAGGTGGCATGAAGATTCAGCCCATCCATCTTGAAATAGAGGGTGATCCTATCTTTCTGAAGCACCGATTAATCGCATACGGCATTCGAGATGCAGTTAAGAAAGAATTAGACAAGTTGCTTGGGCAGGGCATACTTATGCCAGTTGAATCTTCGAATTGGGCGACTCCAATTGTGCCGCCACTAACGGCTGATGAGAAAGCACCGAGAATTTGTGGTCACTACTGCCTTACACTCAATAGTCGCTTACTGCAGCAGAGCTGCATTACACCAGAAACTGAAGACATTCCCTACAAGCTACATGGCTCAAAATACTTTTCCAAAGTAGATCTCGAATACGCTTATGTGCAGATTCCTCTTAACAAAGCTCCTAGTGCATTAACAACCATTATTACTCCATTTGGATAGTTCAAGTATAAGTTCTTGTATTTTGGTTCAAATGTTTCACCTGCAATATTTCAATAAGTGATAAATCAGATGATAGATGGATTAGATGGTGATGAGTCTTACCATGACGACATTATA